CACACACACGCAAGAAGATCTGAATGTTAAGAGTGAGGTATTTTTTGTTTTTGTTTTGTTTTGTTTTGTTTCCAGATCTCAAGTGAATTCACTAAGGATCCAAATGGCCTGTATATTCCTAAGGGAAACTTCTGGCTTTCTTCACTTGTTCCAAATTCACTTCTCCTACCCTGCCTCTCTTCAGTTCCCTGAAGACTCATTCAGGAGTTCAAGTCAATTGCTTTAATTCACAAGTTACAAAGGTCACATATGAGAAAATCCCCTTTGACTTTTTAAAAGTTTGAGCATCTTAGCAAATGAATCTAGAATCAGTCAGTCCCCTGGGCTCCTCAGTTTAGCCTAAACTAACTGCCCTTTGGATTGACTAGACATCGGAGGCTTTCTTCAGATAAGGTTGTCAGAAATATATTTAGAGTCTAGGAGGCAATTGTATAAACCACCTGTTAAATGAGATCGATCTTGAGATAAGATGAGAGAAACTGCTTAATGGTGACATGTCAAGAACTTGAAAATTTCAAGATACTTCTGTCTTTCCTTCAAAGTCATGACGGGGTAAGAGCAAGAATAGGATTTTGAATATTATGGCTATAAATGATGTGCTTCTTAGAGCCTTGGCTAAGGTATCTCTTTCTGTTTCCTCTCACTCAGCCTGCTAGAGAGAAAACTGTTTGATTCCCAGAGTAGGGTAGTGGTGCTATCTTCTTTCAATGAATATCACCCAATGACACACCTGCTGATTCAAAACTCCAGGATATTGTCTCCACTGGGAGCAGCCAAGAGGACGGTAATGTCTCACAACACCCTCTGATGGTGCTGTCCCCTCCTGACCTTCTCCTTGGGATACTTCCTCCTCCTCTTCATCCCCTTCCTCTCTCCTTGGCCTTGTAAGAGATTTAATTTCCCTTGGGGCCCTCTCATCTCCTCACTGCTGGCAGATCTAGAGACAGCTGTTCTGCATTATGACTCCACCTTATCTCTTCCCTAACATGCCCTCTGCTCCTCTAGAACTTATCTCTTCCAGGGAGGGATTCACACAGACAAAAGGTCAGAAATCCTCCGCATGTGTAAGCTATGTAATTCACGCCTTCCAAATGTACCATATGCATTATTTCCCTCAAGTTTACTCAATTTACAGACAGAGGAGTTACGATTTAAAAAGGGTGAACATTATTACAAAAGTTAAACAGCTAGAACGTGATGTAATTGGGTTATACCACACATAGGTCTGTTTCTAAATTGCAGGATATTGGCAACATCTTGCTGCACTTCCTAAACCTCAGGCAGAAAGCCTGCATTTTCTCTTGGAGAAGCTGAGTCTATAGTCTGAGAGCAAGCCAGATGGGAATATGGTAGGCTTAGGACATTAGAAGCAGATTTTCCCTCTGTGTGCTTTGAACTCTCTCCTTGTCATACAATCTTAGGAGCATCAGAGAGCAGCTCTGTCTGCAAATAGAATTATGTTTTTAGATGGCCTAGACCAAGGTATGTGGGGCAGAATCAAGGCATAATCTGGGGGGGAAACATGAATAGGTACATTTATCTCCACTACCCTTGTCACTCTGGTTTTGTATTTTTTTTTTTCTTTTGTACTGGGTGCCCCTTTCTAAACCCAGGACTGAAGCTTCTTCATGATCACACTTGTCACTCAAAACCAATAAAATGATGAGCACTTTTTCTTCTTCCCACTTACTCATACCCTTATTCATGTTCTCTGTTAATAGTTTCTAATCTATAGTATGAAATAAAGTCCTGTTTTTTTTTCATTATTCTTTTGTTTTTTGTTGTTGTTTGTTTTTTGGGGGTTTTTAAAATTTTGTTTGTTTGTTTTTTTTGTTTGTTTGTTTTTGCCGTGACCAGCTCTTAGGTGCTTTTCTTTTGGACAGGATCCAGCTCACCTTTTGCATCTAGTGATGCTACTATCTGGCAACAAAACTACGGTTATGCATCACAGGTCTGTTATGTTTTATGTTTAGAAACAGCAGATGGAAGGAATGGTGACACTTTAGGCATCTGTTACAGTAAAAAGGTATGTTTTTATTACTGTACTTCTTTTAAGGGAATCCCTCTAATTAAAGAAAAGAAATCTGATGCTCCCCTTCTGTGGACTTCAAGTCCTTGGCCAGTGACTTTTCTTCTTGTTACTGCATTTTATGTGTGCAAATGTCCTATGCAAGTTTAGCTCATCTTCCACTTTGCTGCAATTCTTGGAACCCTTTGGATCCTTTTTTAAGTAAAATTTGATTTGGAGGTACGTATAAGAACAGGGTATTTCTTTGTATTGCTCTGAAACATGCTCCAAGTATGACAGTCCCGTATCTTCTCCACGCTGGGTGACAGGGGTCTTCTCCCCGAAAGAGAGGATTCCATGACTCAATTTCCATCCAGCTACTTTATCCATATTCTCTGGAGATAATGGGGTATCTGAGTACCAGGAGCCCACGTGGACACTGTGGTCAGGTTCAAACATTTTAGTTATTATCTTCATAACCTATTCTCAAAAAAATTCATGTATTTGGGAAAATAATACACACACCTCATCACTTCTTACTGCTTGTATCTATTTTCTATAAATATTCATTTTTAATTGAAGTTTTCCCAATTTGTCCTTAATATAGAATTCCCAATACTAACTGCACAAACTGAGTAATTTTTCCTGGATATGAATAATTTGTCAATGAATCTGAAAGCATTGTTGCCATCAATTGATGCTACTAGTTATTCAGACAGATAGTGGAATTTTGTCATCCCAGTGCTTGATGAATAGCCAAAGGATTAGAATTCCTAATTGCCTTTGATCAATTTAGCATAGTTGTCTAGAGTCCCAAGGTATAGCTGGAGTGGACCAGACTTGGATAATATTATAGAAGAGTTATCCTAGTCTGAAGTTACACTCTGGATGTTAGAACATTGTAAGAGAAAACAGACAAGTTTTGGACTGTGAGAACATAGGTTGAGCTGTTATGTGGACTTCCAAAGCTGGCCAGGACATTTATAGGAGCAGAGTCTGGTTATAAAATCATTAAAAGTTGCCATAGATGAGGTGTTCAAATATTATCCAATCCAGGGAAACAGCCCTGACCAAATGAAATAGGTATTTCCTACCACAGCGTGCTTGGGCCATTACTCAATTGATTATCTTGGACTAATTTTTAAAATTAAAATTTTTATAATTTCTTATTTACATTTAATTGTACATCTTTGTGTGAGTATAATATGGTTTTTTAAGCATGCATCAAGTGTGGGATAATCAAAGAATAATACCATATTCATTGTCTTCAACAAAGTACATTACGTTATGCTGCGCACTTTCAATTTTCATTCTCCTAGCTTTATTGGGGATACACACACACACACCTGGCCACTTCCTCTTTATACTTTGTTGTGGCATATGGTTCCATAACCTATTTGTTTACCTACATTCTTGTGTCTGTTAAATGCTTTTGTCCTGAGCCCTTCCGACCTGCATGCTATCCACCATGCAGTCTCATATTCACAGTTGCCCTCTCGACTTCTGTATCTTTGACTCCATTTCTGCCTTGGAGTGCAGACATTTGTTATACATTGAGCAGGGACATGCAGTAATTGTCTTTCATAGTCTGGCTTATAACTTATTTTAATTTAAAAAATATTAACACTGTAATAAGTTTCCATGAAAGGAAATGGAATGAAATGGAAAAAAAGTAAAAAAAGAGGAAAGATTCCCCACCACCCTAACTTAGCACCCTAGACTTTGTCTTTCTATTGTCCCAGGGACTGAATCCTCTGCCCCACCTGAGCTACCTTCTCCCGCAATAACACCCATCACCTTGTCATCATTAATACTTACTACACCCTTACCAACTTTGAATTTCAAGCACCGCTCTACTGAACCACTAGATCCTAAATTTACAACTTGCTTAGCTTACAGAACATCTTCTTCCTTACAAACTAAGGACTTCACCACTAGTCGTAATACTCTGCATGTTCCTTCTCACTTCCTCACGCAGCCTGGTTTCTGTGGTTTATTCATTTGCAGTGATGCTCTACTTCTCTGCCTCTATTGTCTTAGTCACTGAATATACCTAGAAATAAAACCCAAATTACCCCATCTCATTTAAAACCAAGTATCCGTCTGTTACACACAGGTGCTTAAGCAGCTAAATTATATTAAAAATAATTGCATACTTTTCAAATTAGTGTCACAATCATAAATGGCAAATGTATTACCAGTTATTCCTACTGCATTTCCTTCATAAATTAGTCTTTCACTGGATGTGCCTGAGTTTTATGTTCTTGGTTCATCCAAATCTACTACTACCACCTCACAGAAAACACATAGCACACACACACACATACACACACATATAAACACAAATGAGGGGTCTTCAAGAGTTGTGGAAAATGCGTATTATAAGTTTGTTCATGGATTTAAAAAAATGTTTCCATGAAAATAAACTTGTACCTCAATTTTTCATGAACTTTATAAAAATTAGAAAGTCTCTCATACTCTGCCGTAAAATCTACCATGCTAGTTGCCTCTGAACCTACACTCTTCAATTTCCCCCTAAATAACAAAAAAGGGCTCTGACTCGTATCAAATTTCTGTTCACAGTGAACAGAAATTCACTGTACACAGGATGTCATTCATTTTATTTCTGCTATTAAATTCCTACTCTGCTACATCAGGAAATTCTTTCTATATTCCCACTGGCCACATAAAATGTTATTATATTAATACCCATCTTAAAAATTTTTAAAAAAGGAGAAATCTCTAGAACTATAAGACAATGATCCACAAACTTACACTGAGAGTTGTTAGAGGGGAGGGATGCGTCATCCAAAACTATCAAAGTTATCACGATGATAAGGAAGTTAGCTTATAAATATCTCAACATGGTTACAGTATAATCATGAAATGACATACATGGGCAAGAGGGCCAAGGCATGAAGTAATTGGGAGACACAAAAGGAATTTCAAAGCCTCTTTTCTTGATTCCCAGGGTGGAGCGGTGTTTATCACTATGGGAAACCACAGCATATTCAGTGAATTCCTCCTCCTCGGGCTGTCTGCTGACTCCCACATCCAGATTCTGCTCTTCATGCTTTTCCTGGTGATTTACCTCCTGACCTTGATGGGGAACCTGGTGATGCTGCTGGTGATCAGAGTGGATTCCAACCTGCACACACCCATGTACTTCTTCTTGGCACAGCTGTCCTTCCTGGACCTCTGTCACTCATCTGTCACAGTCCCCAAGATGTTAGAGAATCTACTTTCTGAAAGCAAAACCATCTTTGTAGAGAGCTGCTTGGCTCAGGCCTTCTTTGTGTTTGTCACGGGTGGCACCGAAGCCTGTCTGCTGGCTGTGATGGCCTATGACCGCTATGTAGCCATTAGCTCCCCTCTGCTCTATGGCCAGGTGATGAGTGACCATCTCTGCGTTGGGCTGGCCGGGGGATCCTGGGGCCTGGCCTTCGTTGATGGTCTCATCAATATCCTTCTGGCTGTCAATTTAGACTTTTGTGAGGACCAAACTATTCCCCACTTCAGCTGCGAGCTGTCTTCTCTCTTCCCTCTGTCTTGCTCTGATACCTCTACCAACTTCACACTCTTGCTCTGTTCCTCTGTCTTGCATTTCTTTGGAACTTTTCTCTTGATCTTTTTCTCTTATATTTGCATTGTCTCTACCATTCTGAACCTCAGTTCCACCTCAGGTCGAAGGAAGGCCTTTTCTACCTGCTCCTCCCACCTCACTGCTGTGATCTTGTTCTATAGCTCAGGCTTCCTCAGCTATCTCTTACCATCTTCAGGTTCCCCCCTGGAGATGATCTGCCCTCTGCAGTACAGTGTGCTCACTCCCATGCTGAATCCCCTCATCTACAGCATGCAGAACAAGGAGGTGAAGGCCGCTGTGAGAAGACTGTTCAGAAAATATTTTTTTTCTTTCATGTAGCAGAAACTATGATAAAGGGGAAACTGAACTTTTTATTACGCTATATGATCAGATAATGGACTTTAAGGAGAGTTTCTGGGTTCTCCATGATGCAAGATATCACAAGGAACATAGTGGCATTTGCTTCCCTAGAAAAGCTTGTGATGAAGAAAGAAAATTCGGGATGATTGAGGCTCATTCTTATTCAGAGAAGGAGCAATGAATCGGATAACCGTTGTCTTTCTTGGGGATCATAATTATTATTTTATGTTAGGGGGTGTGTGACCATGCACTGGAAAATAGGAGAGAGAGAGAGAAATAGAGGGAGACTTCTGAGCAAGGCCTGGTCACATTGCAATCTTTTTTCCTCCAATTCTTCATTTCTTCAGGATCCCAAGTTTGCCTAGTGTGTTTTTCAAGCAAACAGGCTGGGTCTCAAATCCTGGTCAGCCATGTGATGTTTGCCACTGTACCACAGGGGTGGCCCTCCAGGAGTTATTTGATACAAATGCTGGTTTGTTATTCATATCCATCTTTTAGTATTGGTTGCTGATCACCCCTACATATTTCTTTTTTTTTTTTAACTTGGCATTTATTTATTTTTTTCCCAATTTATTTATTTGCATTCATTCGCTGTACATCATTACAGCATACAAAATGAGATTTTCCATCCAGAGTACACTGTATATTGTCTCAATCAAGCACATCAACAAACATGTTATTCTTAGCAAATGATCTTCCATTTCTTGTTTTCTGTATGTTTTGCTTTTTTCCCCTCATCCTTGGTTCCCTATCTCTTACCCTTTGCCACCTCCTGTTCTCCTCCCACACTGTCTCTGTTATCTATGTTTGCTTTCTATACCATTTTCCCCCCACATTTTATTGAATCACCAAAGACCCTAATCAATCTAAATACCCTCCTAGCAAACACATGTGACACACACATTTCCATGAGCACAAGTCTAACTTTACGCATCCTATAAAGTAGCACCTAACTGGGTCTACATATCCTACTGCATTTACATTCCTTCCCTAAGCATCATCACAGCACACAAAATGCGATCTCCCATCCAGTACACACTGCATAGTGATTCAATCATGCACATTACAAAAAAAAAAAATTTCCAATTCTAGTTCCTAGAATTATTTCCACACCTCTTTCTGACCCTCTGTCCCTTCCCACTCTCCTCTCACACCACCTCCTGTGTCCAAAATTGCACTGGACAAGGCTCTTGACAAAACCACTTTCCCGTATGGTAGGTGGGTTAAAGAGGATGATGATTCTAGTGTATCATTAATCCATCCAATGGTAAATGTAAGGGGTTTTTGCAGGAGAAAAGAAGATATTTAAAAATGCAATCTAGTTAAAAATGAATTGTGAGGGAACCAGCAGTTAGCGTAATGGCTATGTCACTGGACACCCATGTAGTCGGCTGTGGTTCGTGTCCCGGACCCGGTGGCTTAAAACTCATGCCGGGCGCATGTGCGTGCGTGCCCAAGATCCTGAGAGGAGAATGGAGGAGAAGGGATTGCGGCGTGACCATCCTCCCTGGAGGGTGATTTCTCGCTTTCTGTCTCTATGTCTCTTTCTGTCTGTCTGGCGAGTGCACGTGCCCTATA